TCAGGCTCAACGGCCATGGTTCACGGGCCCAGCTGCTCCGCGGCATGTGGGATCTTCCCGGACTGGGGCACGAACCCGTGTCCCCTGCTTCGGCAGGCAGACTCTCAACCACTGCGCCACCAGGGAAGCCCCAGTTGTATGAGTTTTGACATATGTAATCCCCACCACTGGTTTCTTTCTCTTAGCAAAATTCATTTGAGAGTAATCCAAATTATTCTGTGTTTGAGTAGTTAAAAAGGAAACTGTTTCTTTCTACTTTTGCAGAAAACTTCTGACACAAAATGTGTTTGGTTTTTTCCCCACACCAACCCATTCTCCAATACTCTATGGACATTAACTGGGTGAACTACAGTTTAATTCAATTCTGACACTAACTGGAGTTCATGCAGATCCCACAGGTTAAGGGCTCAGTCCCACAAGACCTCCCCCACTTCAGATGTCAGTCTCAAATCCAGGTTGTCACCTGTGCTTTTGGGCGACCAGCTATAAATCAGAGGTACCTACAACCCCCTCCTCTGGTTCGATAATTTGCTAGAACGGTTCACAGAACTCAGGAAACCAGTTTACTTACTAGATTGCTGGGGTTTTTTTTTAATTTTTAAAAATTTATTTTTTGTATTCCCCTCCTGGTTTATTTTATTTTATTTATTTATTTTTTGCGGCACGCGGGCCTCTCACTGCTGTGGTCTCTCCCGTTGCGGAGCACAGGCTTCGGATGCGCAGGCTCAGCGGCCATGGCTCACGGGCCCAGCCGCTCCGCGGCATGTGGGATCTTCCCGGACCGGGGCACGAACCCGTGTCCCCTGCATCGGCAGGTGGACTCTCAACTACTGTGCCACCAGGGAAGCCCCTCCTGGTTTATTTTAAAAGATACAACTCAGGAACAGCCAGATGGAAGCGATGCATAGAAAAAGGAATTGGGGGAGGGACTTGGAGCTTCCCCAGGTGTGCCACCTTCCCAGCACCTTGATATGTTCAGCAACCCAACAGCTCTCCAAACCGTGTCATTCAGGGATTTTGATGGTGGCTTCATTATGTACCCATGATTGACTAAACCACTGGCCATTCCACTGGTGATTAACTCAACCTCCAGTCCTGGTCCCTGAACTGGTCCAGCCTCTCTAATCACATGGTTGGCTCTCCTGGCAACCAGCCCCCATCCAGCAGCTGTCCAGGAGTCCCTAGCAGTCCGTCATCTCGTTAGCATACAAAAAGATACCTATTACTGTGGAGATTTCCAGCGTTTTAGGAACTGTGTGCCAGGAAACCAAGGCTGAGACCAAATATATATATTTATTCTTTCACAGTACTTATGGTCCCCGACTTATGAAAGTTCGACTTATGATTTTTCAACTTCATAATGATGTAAAAGCAATACGCATTCAGTAGAAACCGTACCTCAAATTTTGATATTTTCCTGGGTTAGTAACATGTGGTCTGATTCTCTCTTGTGATCCTGGGCAGCGGCAGCAAGCCGCAGCTCCCAGCCAGCCCCAGCCAGCCACGCAATCATGAGGGTAAACGAGTGATACACTTACAACCGTTCTAGACCCATACAACCACTCTGTTTTTCAGTTTCAGTACAGTACTCCATATATTACATGAGGTATTCGGCACTTTATTATAAAATACACTTCGTGTTAGATTATTTTGCCCAACCGTAGGCTAATGTAAGTGTTCTGAGCACGTTTCAGGTAGGCTAGGCTACACTGTGATGTAGGTAGTTTAGGTGTATTAAATGCGTTTTCAGCTATTGATATTTTCAATTTATGGTGGGTTTATCAGGATATAACCCTTTCATAAGTCAAGGAAGATCTGTAGTTCGTGTTCGTGTTTTTGAAATTGCTGAATAGTATTCCATGGCATGGATCTGCTACAGTTTATCCATTCACCAGTGGATGCACACTTGATTTGGTTGTTTCTAGTTTTTGGTGACTATGAACAGAACTGCTATAAACATCAGTCAGCAGGTTTTTGAGTAGAAGTATGTTTTTATTTATCTTGGGTAAATATATAGGAGTGGATTTGTTGGCTTGTACAATAAGCGTGTGTTTAATTTCACAAGAAGCTGACCAACTGTCTTCCAGAGTGACTGTACCACTTTGCATTCCCATCAGCAATGAATGGGAGTTCCAGTTGCTCTGAATCCTTATCACCACTTGACATCGTTGTCAGTTTTCGTTTGTTTAGCATCCTAGTAGGTGTGAAGTGAGAGTCCATGGTTTTAATTTGCATTTCCCTAAGGAGAAATGATGTTTCCTGTGCTGATTTGCCATCTGTATATCTTCTTTGGTGAACTGACCATACTTTTGCTCATTTTTTCACTGAGTTATTTGTCTTCTTATTACTGAGTTTTCAGAGTTCATCATGTACGCTGGCTACAAGTCCTTTGTCAGATATTTTCTCCCAGTCTATAGCTTGTCTTTTTATTCTCTTGACAGTGTCTTTTGCAGAGCAGTTTTCAATGTTGTTAAAACGTTTTTTGAAGTTTGTTTTTAAAAGAAGTTGGAATTTTTGACTATTTAAAATTTCTGGTTTCTTTACTAAAATTGGAACATCTGGTTGGTCAGGGTCCCCAGCTCCACTCTGCTTTTTATGTTGGCCGCCTGACCCCTGGAAACATTTGCTCTAATGGGAGGAATGTGCTCTGATGGGGGTCAAGTCGGCAGAGGGCAGCAGTTAACATTTTGGTCAGAGGAATCATAAGACTTTGGTTTGAATTCTGACCCCACCATGACCTTGCTGTGTGACGCAGAGCCAGTCATTCTCCTCTCTGAACCTTAGTTTCTTCATCTGTAAAATGGAGGCAATGACGTCCTTCCCCATTCCCTCACCCCAGGACTGGCCCAGAAAAAAGGCCCAATACATGGAAGTTGATATCACTGTCCTGGCCTAGGAGATTTCAGATTTATTTCTTGGCAGAGGGAACATTCAAATAGAATCTTAGGCTGACATTCAGTAGTAGGACCAGAAAGGGAGGGAGGGTTCTATTTCTCCCCCCTACCCCCTTGTACCCACCAGAGCATTGCCTGAAGTCGGCTGACCAGTCTACTAACCCCTTGACTTTAAGAGTAACAGACCAGAGGAGGCAGTGACCTTCTTGAAGTCACACAGCACGTCACAGGCACACAGCTCCCCACTGTCATCCTCAAATCTTCATACTGATTGCCTTGCTGAGTTCACTCCCCAGGTGGCATATATGGGGCTGATAGACTTATAGTTGCCAGTGTTTTCTGAGCTCTTTGTTAGGCACCATTCTGAGCGTTTTGCCTATGTTGACACTGGTCACCTGGATGGCCTGAGGCAAATGGTGCTTGTCCCCATTTTGTAGATGAGGAAACTGAAATTCCATCTTTCCCTCAAGTTACACAGCCGGGAAGTGGCCAGCTTTTCCCGGACTCATCCTGAGGGTCTGTCTTGCCAGTGCCACCAGGCTGTGTCCTGTCTCTATGTCATCTGTCTGTATTTCTGCTCAAGCCACACCAGTTTCCTTGCTGGTCCTCCAACAAAAACCAAATCCTGCCAGCGGGCCTTTGCACTTGCTGTTTCCTCACCCTGGAGTACTTTCTCCTACCTCCTGACCTGTGGCCTACACCTTCTCATCTTTCAGGACCTGCTCCTGAAAGATATCCTGCAGATATCACTTCCTCAGAGAGGCCTGTCTCAACCATATCAGCTAAAATCACCTCTCCAGTCACCCACCTCATTTTTCTTTTTTTTTGTGGTACACGGGCTTCTCACTGCTGTGGCCTCTCCCGCTGCAGAGCACAGGCTCCGGATGTGCAGGCTCAGTGGCCATGGCTCACGGGCCCAGCCGCTCTGTGGCATGTGGGATCCTCCCAGACCGGGGCACTAACCCGTGTCCCCTGCATCAGCAGGCGGACTCTCAACCACTGCGCCACCAGGGAAGCCCTACCCACCTCATTTTAATTCTCTGCATGGCAGTCCGTATATTCATTCATTCACTCATACATTGATTCATGCGATAGACATCTATTGGGCATCCACTGCGTGCCAGGCCATGTTCTTGGCCTAGAGTATACAGTAGCGAACAAAGCAGACAAAAGTCCTTGCCCTGCAGAGCTTAGTTCTAGAAGGGAAGGCAAACACTGAAGAATAAAATATAGAATGTGTCAGGTAAGTAGTATTTATTTTAAGGAAGGGAAATGTGAAATGTAAGGGCAGGGGTTGACATTTTAGATGGGTTGGTCAGGAGAGGCCTTCCTGAGGAGGAAACATTTGAGAAGGGGCCTGAAGGAGGTGAAGGAGGCGCCAATGGAGATCTGGGCAAGGGATGTTGCAAAGGCCCCGAGGCAGGAATGTATCTGGAATGTTAAGGAACAGTAAGGCGGCCATTATGGCTGGAGCAGAGTACGTGAGGGGTAGACTGGGAGGTCGTGGGGCAGCGTCTGTGGGCACAGCGAGGACTTTCGCTTTTGCTTTGAGTGAGCTGGGAGCCATAGAAGGTTCTGAGAAGAGGAGCGATGTGACCTGACTCAGGTGTTCACAGGCTCCCTCTGGCCGCTGTAGGAGAGCAGACTGAGGGGCAAAGACAGGATCTGGGGACCAGGGCAAAGGCGAATGTACTGGTCCAGGCAAGTGATAAGGTGGGGCTGGCCGAGGAAGGGGTGCAAAGCGGACAGATTCTGAACAAATTTGGTTGATTTGAGGTGCAAAGGAAAAACAGAGCCAAGGAAGACCCCACGACTTTTGGGGTGTGCGTTGCTGCTAGGTTAACCTTTTGATAGTCTAGCCCTCCCCGTGTCATCTCTGTGAGGGCAGATCATGGTCTGTCTTGGTCCCTGCTGTGTCTCCAGCTACTGCAACAGGACCTGGCCCACAAAGGCACTCAGTCACTGATCTCTGTCATTTCCTGTCTCCCATCTCTTTTGGGGTACCTGTCTCTCTGCCAGGAATTTCCTTGGTCCCCTTATTCCTCTTGACCCACCCCCCAATGCCATCTCAGCCCCCCGACCCCTCTTCCTGCCCGCCCCTTGCAGCTTGGAGGCAGAGAATGGGCCGACGCCATCGCCAGGCCGCAGCCCCCTGGACTCGCAGGCGAGCCCGGGACTCGTGTTACACGCTGGGGCGGCCACCAGCCAGCGCCGAGAATCCTTTCTTTACCGCTCAGACAGCGACTATGACATGTCACCCAAGACCATGTCCCGGAACTCGTCGGTCACCAGCGAGGCGTGAGCACCCCCGATCCCTACCCGCCAGCTCTTCCAGGCCTGGCCCCAGCACAAGCTGCACTTCCCAGCAAGGAGGGGGACACTGCCCAAGTCCCCGTCCACCTGCACACCCGTCCTCCCTAGTGAAAAGTAAACAGCACCCTTATCCCCCGTCGAGGGTTCAGTCCCTCTGTAGCATGTCCACCCAGTGGCATATGAGCGCCCACCCTATCTCTGCCCCCTGCCCAGCCACGCTGAACCCCTCCCTCAGGCCCAGCCCAGACTCAAGTCCATATAGTCCCCGCCTACCCAACCTGCCCAAGCCCACTCCTACCCCTTGGTTTTTGGGGACCTGGCCCACCTCATCCTGTCTCTCCAGCAAGAAGGGAGCCCCTCCTGGCCACCACTTGCTTCCAGTGTGTCCACCTTGGCTGACCCCCTCTTCCTCCCCTACTCCGGGCTTCCCAAAGCCAGCCCCCCTTATCATGACCACCTGTGAAGGTGTGAGCACTCCTGATCTCTTCAGCCCCCTTCCCTCTCACCCAGTCCTTCAGCCCTGCCCCTACCCATTGGAGGCATCCATCTCACCTCCCGCGGCTCCTTCCGGCCCTCCGCCCCCTCCCCGCCGCTGGTCTCCCCAAGCCCAGCTCCTATGGTGTGTTCATCGCCCTCCTTTTGTCTCTGCGCCC